TTTTTTTTTTTTGTCCTTTTTGAGACCGGCCACAACGCGCTCAGCCAGTGAGTGCTGTGAGCGCACCGGTCATCCCTATATAGGATCCGAACCCGCAGCGGGAGCGCTGCTGCGCTCCCAGAGCCATACTCTCCGGAGTGTGCCACGGGCTCGGCCCGCCCACAGCATTTCTGCTGCTCCCGCCTGCCTGGCGACTGGCCATGAGATGCTGCCTCCACCAGAGGCGCCCCCACTGTCCACCCACGGACTCGGGTGAGCAAGCCACAGGTGCTCTCGAGAGGCACGTTCCACAGATGCATAACATTCCGAAGTGTGTTGCCTGACAAAGGCCACCGCTACACCGTGGCCTCCTGTCACTGCCTCTCCCCACCCCTGCATCTTTTCCATCCATTTTGTGGTTTGAAAAAAAGCCAGGTCTTTTTCTCCACTCCCTAAATCCCCCCTTCCCAGACAACAGTGCCAGTTTTACACATAACAGGAGAGTTCTCTGAAAGCTGCTAAAACTAAAAATGAAAGGAATCTTAATTAGGAAGGTGCGAATACCAACGACCTCTCTGAAGAAGCCGGGGAGGCTGGGCCAACCAGTAAATACCGGCTGTATCCCCGGCTACAAGGGCTTCAGCAGCCCCTGCCCCCCATCAGAAGCACTTACTGAGCACTTGCTAAGGAGATGTCACTGAGTGGGTGCCGCCACCCGGCAGGTGCTCGGCACCAGCATGCCCCAGTCTCGGGGGACGGAAGACAGAGCTGAGCACAGGGCCCCTCCCCGCCCGGGAGCCCGGTCAGGAGAGGAAGGTGCAGGTGGGCATCGCACCCTCCCGGCCCTACCATGTGCACTTGAGAAACAAAAACCACAGTCCAGCGTGACCAGTGGGGATCCCTCGCAGCATGAAGCCTTTTACCAACACTCACAGGTGGCAGCAGCTGTTGCTGGAAGCAGCGTGATGTTCTTCGAGGGGTCCTTCTTCACGGGGGCTGTGGGCACTTCGTTCTCCTTCTTGCGCCTTTTGTAAGGCACGAAGAGCCTGACTGGACCACTCTGGGGGAGAAAGGCAAGGTCGGACAGAGGGCCACGTGCTTTCTACTCATTAAATGACAGAGCTTTCTTCTGCCTGTACAAGTCACACGGTGAGACTGCATCCAATGGGAAGCTCGCTCAGAAGTCCCACCCTCCTTAGGCCCCAATTCCTTACAACGACAGGAAGGACACTTTCAGAGAGCGCAAGAATAACAGTACCACAGAACAAGACGAGCACCACCAATGCAGCAGAGCTTCAGGGATTGCTAGACAGAAAACGGATAGGGACCAGAGACAGGAACGAAAGAGGCTCAGCCTCGAGCGAGAGGGGAACGACCTGGCAGACGGGGCAGGCACTGCGCACAGCTGGTGAGACAGAAAACCTGAACCGACCAGCAACCACAGAGAGGGCTGCAGGAATCATGAGACCCCTGTGGAAAAAGCCCCAGGCTGGGAGGGCCGCCGGGGACCCACCCCTCCCGCTGCACAGCGCTCGCCATGGGCACGGCGGCCCACCCCCACCCTCGCAGCCAGCACCACACTTGGGCACCCGACACAGGCTCAGATCGGTTCTTCCACCAGTTCACATCTGTTGAGCCGCTCATGGGTTTCTCATTCTACTTTTCAATCCTAGAATTCCACTTAATTCTGTTTTATAACTTCTATCATTTTTGTTTTTGTTCCCTTTTTTGGCCGCTGGCCTGTAGGAGATCCAAACCCCTGCCGTAGGTGTTGTCAGCACCACACCCTGACCTGCTGAGCTGACTGGCCAGCCCGTCACTTCTCTCTCTAATGGTATTTTCACTTCAGGAGAGTCTGTTGCCACACCTTCCGTCAATTCTTTTCATTTAGTTTTTTTTTTTTTTCTTTTTGTCCTTTTTGTGACCGGTAATGGGATTGCAACCCTCAGTGTCGCACCCATACTGCGACCAGCAACGGGATCGCAACCTTCGGTGTTGCGTCCGCACCATGCTCAACCAGTGAGCTGACCGGTCTCTATATGGGATCCGAACCCTCAGTGGGAGCGCCGCCGCGCTCCCAAGTGCCGCACTCTACCAAGTGCGCCACCGGGCCGGCCCTTTTCATTTAGTTTTTTAAGGCAGGTCAAGTGAAGTGGTGGGATTGGAGAAGGCATAAGGAAACCCAAGGTTGGTCATGGCCAACCTGCTGTGGACGCCACAGCACCCAGGCCCAACCCTCCACGAATTCTTCAGTTCTCCGAACATTTTCATGCCAGCCACTTTGAAGCCTTTTTCTATTAAACCCAGTATCTGGGCCCTCTCAAAAGCAGACTCTGTTGTCTGCTTTTTTCTTGTGCATGGTTCACACCTTCCTGTTTCGTGGCATGTCTTACAATATTTGCTGACAACCAAACAGTCCAGGTGACACGGTATTGCAGCGAGTGAGCACTGATCCCCTCTCTGGGGCTCGGCTGCGTGACTTTACTGAGGTCCCCTTCCCCTGTGGTGCACAGCCTCGGTCCCAGCAGGGCTCATGGCTGCGGCCATCTCCTTCCTTGACTCCTTGGCCTTGCTGTACAGCTGTTGCCTCAGTTGGTACAGCCAGCTGTTGGGCCACACTGTTTTCGACAATGCCCTGACATGAAAATTTCTCTACTTCTGGGCCGGCCCGGTGGCGCACTGCTATAGTG